CCGTCCCCCTACGCTCTGCTGCTCCAGAACATTTTCACACTCCCTCCATGAATGCACTTGAAACTGTAGCATGGAAGGCTTTTGGTTTTAATAAGTTTCCTACTGAATTATGCCACACAGGGACATGCCGTGTGCTTAGTACTCACAGCATTAGTACTGAGGTAAAAATAAGTCTTAGAACTTGTTTTGTGACTACTCCCAGGACCTTGCTCTGGAAGGCTGGTGACTGGTTGTTCATGAGTACGGAGAAGACATGATGAGAGAAAAGGGAGAACCCAGCAAAGGGGCCTGTCCGGATGCTCCTGAGTTGTAGACCTTACCCTGTCCTGCTGCCCTGCATTTATTCCTGTTTCTGTCATGGGAGTTGGCAGCAGAGACAGAGTCATTAGTGAGAATAATTAGGTTAGACTTTTGGAGGGCTGCTTTAGACATTGATTTTTTTGGCTCTTTAAAACCTATCTCTCAGCTGTGGTTTTTGAGACGGCTGGTTTTTTTTAGTCACCTGAAGAGTTAGGCCAAGGGAATGTAAAATCCTGGAACTGCCCTGACTTTCATCTCCCAGCTCTGAATTGGGCATGGGATGGATCTTTTCACAGATGGCCAGTCCTGGATCTTAGATCGGAAGTGGTCCTGGAAATGCTGCACTGAGTGGAGTTGGAGAAGATCTGGGTAGAACACAGATCTTCACTGGCCTTCTCTGTAGCCCTGCACAGAGAACAGAAAGCAGTATTCTTGATTATCAAAGCTTCTGGTCACAGGTTGGACTGGTGTCCTGTGTTTTTTTGTTTTGTTGTGTTTTGTTTTTTCCCTCCAGTACCAGGGATCAAACTTGGTCTTTGCATTGAGCTATGTACTCAGTACAGTTTTTATTTTGAGACAAGACCTTGCTGGGTCACTAAGTTTCCCAGGCTGCCCTTGAAATTGCAGTCCTCCTGCCTCAGCCTCCCAGAGTGCTGGTGTTAGTGTGCTACTGCACCTAGCTTGGACTGGCATCTTGAGTACCACACAGCTGGTGTCCATGATCTGAATGTTACTTATGCCATTAGCTGGTTTACAAACTTGGCACATTTTTGTGGGGTCACTCAGTAGCTGGGATACATGAGCACAGAAGCAGTGGAGTGGGGCAGCGTAGTCCAGCACAGAGTGCATGGTTAGTGTGCTCAGTCCACAGCACTGAAAAAATCACCAACAAATGAACATTAAGCCCATGGTCTCCCATCTGCACATCCAGATTCCTGACACGTCTACGCTTCCCTGGAGTCCTGTCCATTGCTTGAGGTTTATTTGCATTGCAGAAGTGTCTGTTGACAGCAGAGGTTGCAGTCAACACTGAGTGTCTGCCCAGTGATGGCAGACTTTTCTAAGTGAGTAAACAGGTAACATAGGTTATTTTACGTAACTCACACATGTGCTGTGTGAGGGAAGGACCATGTGCAGGGCTACAAAGAAGGCCAGCGATGATGTGTGCATGTTACTTAATGTTCATGGCAGTGTAAATCTATATCTATATCTGTATCTATGTATCTCTCCATCTCCATCTATCCCTATACCCCTATCCGCTAGGAAAGAGAACAAACTACGTCATTCTGTCCCTGGAAATCCATTTCTGGATTTTTTTCCCCCAGTACTGGGGATTGAATTCAGGATCTTGCGCTTGCCAGGCAAGCGCTTATTCTGCTGAGCTATCTCCCCAGCCCCGTCCTGGAACTCCAAATGTGCCTTTTCTTTGCTGTGCCCTGCGAGTTGTTCCAGTGTCTCAGGAAAACCTCTTTTGAAGATAGCATTATTATTTATTTTTCATTTACTGAAGGAATTTTAGAGCTCCATTTAAATGCAGAGGAATTCTCTATCATATAGAGACATGCATTTTAGATACAATAGTTGTGGATTTGATATGCATCTCTGCTTCATTATGTTTTACCAGATTTTGAGCTGTGGAATTAGGTTACTGAGCAGGATAACAGGAAATGGCATTTTGACTTTTCAGGTGGCCTTTTTGTTAAGATGCTGTTTGAATCACTTGGGGAGTGACCAGAAGAGGTGAAGCCTCTGAAGGGAATTTTGCTGTATGTAGTTTTGCTCCCGTGCTGGTGGGGGAAGTGTGCAAGTACACGCCTGCTCAGAGTGTGCATACCAGCCTGTCCTGGAAGCACACTATGTGCTGCAGAGAGCTTCCCATCAAGACTTTAATGGAAATAAGCAACGTTATTAAACCAGTCACATGTCAAATCTGTATCAGTTAGAAGTAGGAATGCCAGCAGCCTAGTGTTTATACTCAAAGAATTTATAATCTAGTTGGGATCATCAGGTTTATATGCTGCCTAAGATAATGATGTGCTCTTTGCTGAAGTTATAGTTAATACATTTGAAAGGAATTTAAGAAGCTAGGAACTCCATGGTGAGGAAGGTCTTCTTGGGGAGATGGGCTAGTTCTCACATGGTACAGTTCTCAGCTGATTGACATCCAGGAATCTGTTAGAAGGCCATTTCTCCAGTTCCATCAGAGCTGGGCCTACGACTCCTGGGACAGGCCCAGCAGTGTGTTCACACCCTGATCTAAACACCATCTCTCCCCTAGAAAATGGTGGCTGAAAGGCATGCTGCTCAAATTGGGGAACTAGGGCCAGTGAGATAGCTTAGTGGACTAAGCGCCTGCTTAGGCAAGCACAGGGACCCAGGTTCGATCCCCAGCACCACATGCTGTGCCAGCCCTGCCCTTGGGCATGCTGAGTTGGCCACTGAGTCTGGCTGTGTAGTGAGACCCTGTACAAAATACATAAATTAAAAAAACATAAACAAATTAGGGAACTAGAGACCTGCTTAGGGGACTGCTGAACAGAGGGTGGATGGACCAGCTCCCTTGCCAGCTGGCTTAGCTTCTGTTTAGGAGAAATCTTTCTCTGAGCAGCAAGAGCCTTATTACCCTGTGTCCTTTGTAGGCATGAGGTCTTTTTTAAAAATTGGGGATCAAACTCAGGACTTTGCATTTGTCAGGCAGGCGCTTATACTGCTGAGCTGTATCCCTGGCCCCATGAGGTCATTTTTATCTCTTATTATTCCCATTTAAATGTTAATATGAACATCACATGGCCAGGGGATAAATTACACATTTATGATGTTTGAAGCCTCCAGAAAATGTAAAAAACAGGTCAGCTTTGTGGCTCACTCCTGGCTGAAAGTATGTGTGGAATTAAATGTTTTTTTTTTTTTTTTTTTTAGAATTTTTTAAAATATTTATTTATTTGTGTGTGTGTGTGTGTGTGTGTGTGTGTGTGTGGCCAGCTCAGCCCACCAGGGGGCGGGGCTGGCTGGCATGTGGTGCTGGGGGATTGAACCGAGGTCCCCGTGCTTTGCTAAGCTTGTTCGAAGTAGGTGCTTTAGACCACTGAGCCATCTCACCAGCCCCTGGAATTAAATGTTTAAAAGTTTAATGGTCTTTCATCAGATCCTAGGTAAGTATCTATTTGAGACTGAAGTTTTAAAACTAAAATTTGTATTTTATATGTAACATGGGATGTGTTCCTCTCACACTTGGTACACATTTTGTGGAATTCAGGGTTTGGTGGCATTTATGAACCCCCGTACCCCATCATCCAGGAGCCTGTCCCTCGCTTTGTGGTGCACTGAGACCGAGCTGAGGTGGAGACTGTGGCTTGGGGCTCACAGGCTCAGCAGGCAGGCCTGGTGGTAGTGAGGGTGGCCCAGCCCTCAGCCCTTGCCTGGTGAGCCCTGGGCCTTACACTGGACATGCTTTTACAGTGCTTGTGCCAGTAACCTGGTTCACTGAGAAAGTTACTTTAAAGGCAGCACGAAGGAAAAGAGAAGAGCCAGGACCAGACTGTGGCCCTGCTGCTAAACCAGAGTTCGCATGTACCATTCCCTAGAGATTAAATTCATCCTCCCAGTCTAGCTTTATCCTGATATTATCAGTTTACAGTGTCTTGGGGAAGCTAAGCTGTTGTCACAGATGTGTTGCAATCTCTGTCTCAGAGAAGAGAGGCACAAGGTTTTTTTCTGAGTTCCTTACACTTGTAAGGGCTGCTTCCATGGGGTCAGTGTGGTGCGGAGCAGACTGAAGAAGGCCGAGGGACTGGTGCTGCACACTGTCAGTGGTTAAGATCTGTGGCTCCTGCAGACAAAGATACATTGGAAACTTTCTGAAGCCAGTGAGCCAGATGAGCTTCACCAGATTTTAGGGGCCCATTAATACTTTATGCAGCCAAATTCCAGGATGAGGAAAAGAAATTGGGGTAACCAATTTGGGGTAACCCAAAAGAATTTGGGGTAAAGGATCTACATTTAACTTGAATTCTAGGGAATTGAAAGAAAAATATTTTCTCTGTGAATCTGCAGAATCTTTGATTCTGTAGTATTATTTTTCTGATGAAATATGTTAATGTCAGAAGTCAAAACTAAACTTTTATCTCAAGATTCTGGTAGTCCAGGACTTTTTAACTTGATTTCTTTTTTGGCACTAGGATCGAACTCAGGACCTTGTGCTTGCCAGGCAGGTGTATAAACCATTGAGCTATCTCCCTGGCCCAAGGGCTTTTTAACTTGAAAGTGCCCAGGAATTCAGCAGAAAAGTTTTGAGGGTTCCTGCATGGCTTCTTGGTACTTTTCAACTGTTTTCTTGTACTGAAGCAAGCCTGGGTACCTGCTCCGCCCCTGCCCTCGTGTCACCCTATGCACCGAGTCCTACATTGTGGAGGGTGTGGGTCGCCATCCTTCACTGCTGTGGGTAGAGTTTTGCAAGGTTGCAGAGTAAGACCTATCAGCTGACACTTGCTCACATGAGAGCCATTAGGAGGGTGGTGTGGCCAATGTCAGAACAACCTTGCAGCCGGGTGAGCCAGTGCGTTTGCCCAGAACACGGGAATAGGTCTTGTGACCATTAGTGGCCGTCTCCATGCTCCTTTAGGGAGTGCCGAGGGAGTGAGTCAGTCCAAGCTGCTCAACCTGTTGAGTGTTTCCTAACTAGAGCGCAAGCTTGGGAACAGAAGTGGGAAGTAGGATTTGTACTTGTCTATGTTTGTAATAAGTCTCCTGAGAGCATGTTTTATAATGTAATGCGCGCATCTGACTTCCTAACTCCTATGGGCTTAATTTACGTAACAAATGAATGTTCCTTTTTCTTTTTTAAAGCTTCTAAAAGAGGAAATCAGTAGGCTGTCGCCAAGTAGCTTGTTTCATATATTGTACAGGAAATGGAATGATTGCTTAGAGCTGCTGATCACTGCAGAGTAACCCTCAAGTAACGAAGGAACTTCAAGATTTGTTTCCAGTCCAAATTGATGGTTAAGATAAACCGGAAGAACATTACATGCTCAGGACGACATGTGTGGCAGCACAGCGAAAGCCACAAACCAGCCAGGGGGCTGGCAAGACCCAGCCAGATGTGTGAGCAGTGCTGTCTCTGGTGCTGGGAGGACTTACAAGAAGTTTTTTCACACAAAGATTCAAAAATGTACCTGGTTGGGCAGGGATACCAATCACATGGAACTGGACAACAGGTTTGAAATTTTAATTCTATTTTAAAATCTCAGAAAAGTGTTTCCATTTATTAACACTAGGGAGATGGTGTTGTGTTGATCTAGAGGTTGATTCTCAAGAATGTCTCGAATAAGAGAAGGGGTTCTATGGTGGGTGTGCACAGACTAGCGCTTTGTCCTTCATAGGAGGTAGTTGGCCTGGGTGTTTGCTGGTGACTGGTGATTCGTTTCATTCGCTTCTTATTTATTTCTTCATTAATTTTGTATTTTAGGGAAGGGTCTACAGGGTGTGCAGGGTCTTACTACTAGATCGGACTTGTAGTGATCCACCTGTTTAAAGCCTCCCAAGGGCTGGGATTATAGGCGCACGCCACCACGCCCAGTCTCAATTGCCATCTCAGCGAACCTCCAACCCCAGCACCTGCTTGCAGGCACTTTAATCCGCTGAGCTATTTGGCTAGCCCTTACATATGCTTCTTTTTGTTAACCTCTGCTAGAGGCAATTTGTAGGAAATGCTTATGCTCTTGTCCTTCATTGAAGCTTTATCAATATTGTTTGGATTTATCAGGAAAAGAGGTGTAGTCCTGAGGTACTTCAGCTAGCAAGCACTTGGGGCAAGAGACTGAGCTTTGTCTTGCAGGCTGGGGGAGAGGTGGGGAGCCCAGGTGGCCCAAGCTTGCTCTGGAAAAACTTTTCTTAAGAGGGATGGTTATGAACAGGTAATATGAGTAGTGGAGCATCTCTGGGAATGATGACATTACATCTGCAGTATGCTTTTAGGTTATTTCACCCACTGTGGATAAATTCTTTAATGTCATTAGTAGTACAACTTGAGAAATTATTTATAAAGAACTTTCTTGCATATCAAAAAGAGAAAAAGGAAAAATTCTTTGAGAATTACATTTCATTCCAAAATCTTGGTTAATAGAAAGGAGAGCCAAAAGTTAAGCTCTGACTTTCATGATTAGTAAAAATGTTTCAAAATTAACTTAATTTTTTTCAGAACCAGGGATTGAACTCAGGCCTTTGCGCTTGCCAGGGAAGCACTTATTCCACTGAGCCATCTTCCTGGCCCCTTCTTAGAGCAATTTTCTTAAAGTTAACATGTCTTATAAACTTTATTCCATAAGTATGTTTACTGGTTAGTTAACAAATAGAGAAGGGGTCATGTAATACTCTTTATTCTGGTGGAAATTTAATAAAATGGTAAATAGTCCAGGGCAATTTAAGAGCTTAGTAGTTAGCTCATTAGGGAGAAGTGGGAAGTTGCTTTGAAGTTGGGTCACATGCTGTCCTCTGGGTTCAAGAGATGTTTGTAGAGGTAATGGGTACTGTGGTACATTAGCACATACACTGGAGTGCTCAGATGAGAGTTTCGCTTTTGCATGTCTGCCTTTATCTGTTTCTTATCAAGCACAGGCAGGAGAGCAGGAGAGAGTGGTGGAGGGACACTCACATGTCCGGATCCTACCTCACTCACCGCGGTGCTGCTGCTGGGAGTGTCTGAATCAGAGTGGAGTCTGACTCTCACTCTCAGCTCTTAGGCTACATAGCAGGCTGCGGTTATGGAAAAATTTCTTCCTCCAAGATTCTCAGGGTAGTATTAGGACATACAATATTCCCTTATGTTGGATACTGCATAGAATTTCAGATTCCTAAAGAGTTGCTTCAGGTACATATTCATGTAAAGTATTATACACAGACACACCAATTTATTTATTTTTAAATCTTTTTTTAAGACAAGAACTCACTGTGCAGTTCAGGCTGGCCTTGAGCTCATTTTGTACCTCAAGCTGGTCTCAAACGCCAGTGATTCTCCTGACTCAGCCTGGGATTTCAGGCATGCGACATCATACCTGCTGAACTTAGACTTTTTAAACTTCACAACACACTAGTTTTAATTTGGAATTAATTGGAATTCATGTGAAACTCTTACCTCCATAGATGTCATCCTTTTCTCTTCCTCTCCCTCTATAATCTTGAAAAAAATAATTTAAAAATATTTGCAGTATTGTGCTTGGCTTCCAGAATTTTCTAGGACTTGGGCCCACCTCAAGGGTAGAGGTGAATTATTGACAGGAGCTTGCGCCGTGAGGATGGGGCTCCAGAGTACGTGTGAATTATCTGTTTGCCCAAGTCATACGACAGGTGGGGAGACTTCCAGCTGACCTTTTGTTCTTGGGCATCACAAGTTAATAGCTGCAGGTGGTCGTATTAGTTGGGCAAGTTTTTTTTTCCTCCTTACTGTCTTCTGGTTACCCAGCCAGTGACGAGAAAGAGCTGTTGAACCCAGCAGAGCCCCATGGTGCCACTCACAGTGACTGTCATGTGAGACAGGTGTAGTTCAATACAGAAAGGGACATTTTATAACCTCACTGGCTCCTGATGGAAGTTGTGTGTGGAAGTTTTCACTTTTCCTCCTCCTCATCTCTGTCACAGCAGATCCTGGGGCCACCAGCTCACTGAGCTTCAGAGTCAGTGAGGAAGTGTGCTTTTGAGGAGGCATTTTGAATGGTTTGTCAATTAAAAATTCCTTGTTAAAACTCAGTTCAAATCAGATAACTCTGAAATAATAATGCAGAGTGTATTGTGTAGTTTTCAAGAAATTGTTCCCAATCTTCTTCCTTAAAATCTGGGCTCTAGTAAAGCTCCTGAGAACTTTGATTTTTTTTTTTTTTCAGACTTTCCTAGGAATGCGGGGGTGGGGGCATAGGGCTTTTGACATGAGAAATCCAGGAGCCTTTGCCGACTCTGCCTGCGAATCAGTCTCATGGTGAGAGAAAGCTTGCCATAGCCTTGTCTTCAGAGTGTGTCCTCCGTTTACCGAGGAGGAACTGAAACTAAGCACTTCGGAGTCAGTTGTGTGTTACAGTTTCATATCTTTACATTTGCATTCAGAAGAAATTCTTGGTGCTGCTCTCGAAGCAGTGGGGTAGGGGGGTGGAGCGCTGGGGCTCGGAAGTGGGCGCAGCCCAGGGTGTGGCTGGGTGGAAGGCCTGGCCTTTCGGAGTATAAGCCTGCCTGATATCTTAGATGGACCACTCAGATCACCAAGTTCGGCTGGAAAAGGAAGTCCTGAGGTGCCTCTGGCAGAAACCAGTGTTATTTTCCCTTCCTGAACTGTTTCTCAGAGATAAACTGACCATAATTTACTACCATTCTTTGTTTATAATAGTTAGCATTACTGCCTAGGAAAGGCAGAACTAGTCACAAATTTAGGAAGTGATATGCCAAGGCAACAGCCCGAACAGTTCTGAAGATTCTAGTGGAAGGCTGAGAAAAGTGTCATGAAGGCTGCACATATGGGAGAGTGTTTTTCCTTGTGTTCTGCACACAAAAGCAGTGTGAAAATATGCTGCACTGATACTCCTTAATAAAAACTGTAGCTGTTGGACAGGCTGGATGAAGTAGGTAGAGAGAATACCGGAATTGGTCAGCTGACAGTCTTGTGCTCATGACAGGCTCGTGGGGAGGTTGTAAACTGCTGGGTGTGACTCTTTCCACATGCTGGACATTGCTAGTGCAAGTTCTGCTTTGCTGCATTCCATCCCTTTTTATTGATTTATGTGCAGTGAGGATTTTTCTTTGCCTAGTTGGAGGAGTGAGTCCCTACCTTTGATGGTTAGGGTCTGAGATGCAGCTTGAGGCTGAGTGAATAAACAAATGAGCACAGTGGTAATTTAGTATTGCTGCAGGTTCTCTTCTGAGTCAAGTCTCAAGAATACTCATCTTTTCCCTCTGAGGACATGTGGATTACTAGGAATGAGTCAGCAGTCTAAATACAGGGGATTTTCCTAGAAACTGACGGCAGATGTGAGCTTTTGTCTGGTTTCACTGTGGGAAGCATTCATGACACAGCAGGGTAAAAAACATTCGGCACCTGTCACCATAAGTAATAATGTCCACAGTGACTGTGTCCAGACAGGGGATGAGCATGCTTTATTCCTAGTGTCTGAGGCTGTCACTGGGCGGCTTCAAAGCCTCTCCCGGGGTTCCTGCTCAGCTTTGGGCTGACCTGGGATCTGGTTGGATCAGTCCTGATTGCTGGTTCTCCTGGGATGACTCCCATTGTGAGTCCGGCTCTGGCTTAGCCTTATCCTTTTGTTGTTGCAGAAACAAAAGCTGAGTTACTACTGCACAGGGAGTAGAGGTGTGGCTGGGAATTTTGTAGGACTGCTCAGTTGGGACCCACAGAAGGGAACCTTTCTGTGGGCTATCAGTCACGTGGTTCTTGGGAATCTTCTTTCCTTTTGTGGGATCACGGGATGCTTGGTATCAGGTATGAATCTGTCAACTTTTATACTGTATCTTGAAGAGTTTCATTCCTCTATCAGCTTAGAAAGTTCTTGAGCAAACTATTTTCAGTGCTTTACACAAAAGACATGAATGAAAATCCTTTTTTCTCCCTATTCTATATCCTTTCACTTTCATGCTTAACTGTACCCAAAGGGAAGAAAGAAAAGAACTTGCCCTACGCTTTTTTTCTTCCTAAATTCACCTCTAATGTGTCTTTGGAAGAATCTTTGCTAGGGCTCTTCCTACCCTGATTTCACGATCTCAGGGGCTTCTCTGCCTGGACTTCACTGTGTCTTTGGGAGTGCTGCCACATCTCTTTATTTCTAGTTTCTCTTCTAAAAAAATAAATGATGGTAGGCTGGCACAGTAGTTTGCAAGTATGTAAAATTTTTTTTTAATGGTTTATTTTTTTTTTGAGATAGGCTCTTGTTGTATAATTCAAGCTAGACTTGAACTCATGGCAGTCTTCCTGCATCAGACTCCTGAGTGCTGGGATTACAAGTGTCCTTAACACCAGGCTGTGAAATCTTTTAAAAATGCAGTCTTGAGCCTTACTTTAGAGCCGCCAAACAAGCTGCTGAGGATAAAGCCTGCAGAGCTTTGTGCCTTTGGATTAAATACACTGGGCAGGAGCTGAGAGCCCTTTCCTCTGTTGGGAGGAGCAGGATCGCCCAGGAAGGGAGTTCCAGGAGCAGTGTGTGAAGCCTGCTCTGCTGCTTCCTGG